CCGTCACGGCTTACTCCGAGCTGAAGGCTTTTTGAACGAGGAGGGGGGGGTACCTGCAAGGCACTCCGATGCTTAAGTCAGTGGGAGTACTAGCAGATAATAGAGTTGAGGTTAGAATGATCAATACCTGACCCTCTGGAAGCAGAGGGTATTTATAGCCCCCAGCGCTGGGCCAAGGTTCCTTCACTGGGCCGGGCGGATTTGGCCCAATGGAGGAACTGCCAGGTCCTACGTGGGTAGTGGGGATCAGCACGTGGTCCCCTCCCTGGATGTGGTGCGTGAAGTGCGGGCGGACGGAGACGCGGTCTTTCCGGAGTGTAGTTGGGGCAATGGAGGACTAAGTCTGCCCTAGCAAGTTAGCTCGAGACCATGTCGAGCCGCGTAGCGCGGTGACGAGCTCGACGCTAAGACCTCGAGCTGGACAGTGAGTGTCGAGCTGGAAGCCAGGACATAGAGTCGGACGGCAGGGTGTCGAGCATAACTTCACTGCGTGGGGCTGGACATTGAGATGTCGAGGTGGACGTTAGGGTGTCGGGCATGGTCGCGATCCCCTTTGCCCATTGTGGTCCTTAATGAGTCCCTTTGGACTGGGCCTTAGTAATGCTTTTGGGCCTGTCGGGCCCAGTCCAGAACAGGAGCCCCCCAAGTCGTGGTTTCTTTGCGAGGAGCCATGACTTGAAACAATTGTTCCGTCGCTGAGGTTTCGTGCCCGGTATGGAGGCGTGGACCCTCGAGGGGTCTCCTTGTGCCGTGCTCGAAGACGTCCTCGGTGGTGGATGCGTGGAGGATATTTTAATTATTTTTTTATTAAAATATATATTTTGACAGATCAAAACTATTTAATTTATATATCTTTTATATATATTTTTTAATCATAATTATATTATATTTATTTATTTATTATTTATAACGATATTGTACGAACGTATATTAGATAATTATTTAATTTTTATTTTATTTATTTTGTTAAAATATATTTTTTTCGACAAACCAAAAATTACTTAATTTATATTATATTTTTTATATATCATCAGTACAATATATTTAATTATTATTTGTAAGAAGTTTATAATCTAAAAATTGAAAAAAATATGGTTTAGTGGTTTTACTTATACCAGTAATAAGAGTAAGAAAAAAAAAAAGGTAAAGTTAAACCTAAAAGAAACATCACAGCTCCCTCCATCGAATAAGAAAGGGCCCAGTCGCCGCCGTTCATCGGAAAAACCTGTCCAGGCGGAATTTCCATTCCTTCAATCTTGTTTGCCTCAGTTTTTGCTTCCGGCACTGTGTAATTTTCATTTCAATATTGATTTTTACGTTTCTTCATTGTACTTTCATTCACCAGTTTCTCGTTGCTTTTGTTTGGTTCGGATGGTTGATATTTGACACACACATATGGGGACAATAAGAATACTCTGCTGCGAACACAACAAACGTATTCTCGCAACCTTAAATCCTCTTGGTTTCCTCGGATCCTTGGTATCCCATTGTCGATCCCTTCATTCACATCACTACTCACCACAAGCTTCATTCATCCAAAACCTTCTTAAATTTCGTAGAGACAAACCTACAGAACAAATCGAACGAGCTCTCAACCTCACCGGAATTCACCCCAACGACGTCCTCGTGCTCGACGTCTTGCAACGACACCGTTCTAATTGGAAACCAGCTCTAGTTTTCTTCAAATGGGCATCCAAAACAAACATCTACACGCCCAGTTGTCGCGTATACAACGAAATTATCGACATCCTCGGCAAAATGAAGCGTTTTGAAGAGCTACACCAAGTGCTCGACGAAATTTCCCAAAGAAAAGAACTCATCAATGAAGAAACATTTTCCACGTTAATTCGTAGGTTTGTGGCGGCACATAAAGTTGAGGAAGCAATTAACATCTTCCAAAAAAGGGAAGAGTTTGGTTTGGAAAATGAACTTGATTCTGAAGCTTTTCGTACTCTTTTAATGTGGCTGTGTAGGTACAAGCATGTTGAAGAAGCTGAAACTTTGTTTCATAGGAATATGATTAGGTTTCAGTTTTATCATGATATAAAGACATGGAATGTGATTCTCAATGGTTGGTGTGTTTTAGGGAACACACATGAAGCAAAAAGGTTATGGAAAGATATCTTAGCATCTAAATGCAAACCTGATATTTTCACCTATTCAACTTTCATCAAGGCAATGACAAAAAAAGGGAAATTGGGAACGGCTTTGAAGTTGTTCAATGGAATGTGGAAAGATGAGAGCGGTAAACCCGATGTTGTGATATGCAATTGTGTAATTGATGCTCTTTGTTTCAAGAAGAGGGTTCCTGAGGCGTTGCAGGTTTTTCATGACATGAAGGAACGGGGTTGTCTACCGAATGCAGCTACTTATAATTCATTGATTAAGCATCTTTGCAAGATAAGAAGAATGGAGAAGGTTTATGAATTGGTAGAGGATATGGAGAGGACGGGTGGAGATTGTTTGCCTAATGCTGTTACTTATAATTATTTGCTAAAGTCGTTGAAGGAACCGGAGGAAGTTCTTGGGATTTTGGAGAGGATGGAGAGAAATGGATGTGCAATGAGTGATGATGTCTACAATTTGGTCTTGAGGTTGTATATGAAATGGGGTTATCTTGATGGATTAAGAAAAGTATGGGATGAAATGGAGAGAAATGGATTGGGACCGGACCGACGATCATATACCATCATGATTCATGGACACTTTGAAATTGGGAGGATAAAGGATGCTATGCGTTATTTCAGGGAAATGACGTCTAAGGGGATGGTGCTGGAACCGAAAACGGAGAAATTAGTTATTTCCATGAATGGTCAGTTGAATGAGAGAAGAGGAAAACAAGAAGGAACTGATGTTGAGGCATCTAATGTTTGAAGTATGATCAAGTCTTTCTCGGTCACAAAACCAAAATCTATAGAATTATTTGATTGTTGTTACAATTGATAGGGTTGTTGGTCCAGCTGAAAGTATTGTTCAATTTTTTATGCATATTTGTAGTTCAGATTGACAGGTAGAGTTTTGTTTGAAATACATATGGATCATTTATAACTTACTTAGGACTTGAAAAATGGGTAATGCATCAAAAAAGTAAATAATTGTAGCCTCCAAAAGTGTGATCTTTGTAATGAATTTTAAGATTCAAAAACTTTTAGTGGATGTTTGGTTTTGCAAGGATTAAGATTGATTTTAGTTAAAGATTAGTTGAGTGTAATGTGGTTTTTGTTTGGTTACAATTGGTCTCATTACTGTCACTGTATCTGATTGTTATGTAACTGTCGTACCAGTTTGTGGTGGCTCTATGTCTCCCACTTTTAATCCCAAAACTGATTCTTTCACATGTTTTTTTCTGATTCTTTCACTGTATTTTTATTTCATACAATGGCGGTTTTTATCATTCATTGTATATTGCAGATGACTATGTCTTGGTTGAGAGATTTTGTCTTCAGAAGTACAAGTTTTCACACGGTGGCACCGTGATCTTCCGGTAATAACGTCGTTCATCATCCCTTTCCATGTATTATTTGATTTACTTTTACAATTTTTTTGTTGCCATATTTCCTTCGTATATGATTGTTTGGATAAATAACTTAATTATTTGCTTATAGCATTAGTGTTTATCATATAAGTGCTTATGTATAAGCTATTTTAATGAAAGTTAAAATAAAGTCAGGTTGTTTTTAGATAAGTTATAAGTTGTTTCCATAAACTATCTTCGAGAGCTTATGAGAAAAAAATTGAAAACAACTTGTAGACATTTCATAAGCTCTCCCAAACATTCTCATTATAATGTACTACTTGCTCAAATAAGTTAAATCCAGATTAAAAAAATGTTGTAAACTTAATTTAATAAGTTTGACAGGTAATGGTAGAACTATGTGAACTGGCCCCTATGAACCTTTATTGTGTTTGTTTAGAAGCTTTTGACATTGGATGGTTGATATTTGACACACACACTTGGGGACAATAAGCTCTCTATGGAATTTTACCAAAAAATTCGTCTCCATTGGTCTCATTACTGTCACTGTTTCTGATCGTTATTGTGACTGTTGTTCCGGTTCGAGGTGGCTCTATGTGTCCCACTTTTAATCCCAAAACTGATTCCTATTTTTGTGATACTTATCTTCATATACACATTTATAGGTTTTTACTTAATACAATTGCGGTTTTGATCATTGATTGTATATTGCAGATGACTATGTCTTGGTTGAGAGATTTTGCCTTCAGAAGTACAAGTTTTCACATGGCGACGTCGTTATCTTCCGGTAATAAAGTCGTTTATCATCCTTTTCCATGTATTATTTGACTTACTTTTACTTTCTTTTTTTTGTGCCATATTTCCTTTGTATATGATTGTTTGTTTGGATAAACAACTTAATTATTTGCGTATAGCATTAGTGTTTATCGTATAAGTGTTTATGTATAAGCTATTTTTATAATAAAGTTAAAATAAAGTCAAGTTGTTTTTAGATGTGTTATGAGTTGATTTCATAAGCTGATTATATAAGCTCTCCCAAACGGTCTCATTATTGCATACTATTTGCTCAAATAAGCCAAATCCAGATTAAAAAATGTCGGAAATTTAATTTAATTAGTTTAACAGGTAATTGTAGAACTATGTGAATTAGCCACTATGAAGCCTTCATATTGTTTTAACAATGTGTTAGGATGTTGGCTTGGGCCATAGTCCAAACCAAATAAATAGGAGTTGGCTCACTTAGTTAGTATTCCCCAAATAAATAGGAGTTGGCTCAGTTAGTATTTCCCATATAAATAGGAGTGTATGGGGCAGGAATTAGGTATGTTATTATTTTCTGTTTTACCTATTAGGGTTTGGGCAGAGAGAGAATCATCTCTTCTCTGAGGAGCATTTGCTCTGGGATTACAGGGATCAATCTCTGTAATAGTTTTTAATTCAATTAATATTGCATTATTTTCTATCCCTATCAATTGGTCCGACCTACCGGATTATCAGCTAGGTGCAATCATTCGTGTCATTAAGGATGATTAAGGAAGAAGAAATGTTAGAAGGAGTGGCCGAGAGAATTGACACAATTGAAGCGAGAATGGTGAAGCATTTGGTGCATATTCCCACAAAGAATTTCAAGTTGGATTCGGACGTGTTGCTGCCGGTAACAGACGCAGTGAAGCACACAGTTACTTTGGATGATGAAAAAGGTCATAAGTTAGATGTTCAGGTCTCCCATGGCGATATCGGAAAAGAAGTGTTAGCGGTGGTTTTCGATTGTGGCGTAGAAGGAAGAATGTTGGAGAAGATGACAGAGAAATCAATGACAACACCATTGATTGATTCAGAGATGTTCGCAGAAGCAGCAAGGACGAAGGGATGAGTAGGAAAAAAGCATATGAGTTGTTTGATGTCACCACCACCACCACCACCGGAACCGCCAGATTCAGTTCAACCTTCAACAATGCTTCCACGGCGAGGACCGCCGTCTAAGCCACCAGATCTTAAGGATTCCATGAAAGGAGACGAGAAAACGAGAGTGCTGAAGGATATGAAGCGTCACCAGAGCATACGACGGCGACTGCCGGAACCACCGTGTGTAAGTTCCAATTCCTTTTTAGTTTGTATCGTTGTTGCTGAACGGAAGAAGGATCTAAAGATGTTAAGGGCAAAAATGGTAATCTTTAAATTGAAGATCATTCTTGAAAAGTTAAGAGTAAAATGGACAATTGAGGAGAATGATATCTCTCTAACCCTAATAGGTCAAGCCCAAGTTAATACGGGTTTGTCTATTAAAGCATTTATGGATTGGGCTAAAATAGGGCTCTTGGGTCTAGCTCCTCAATTATTTTCTTAATTTGGTTACCTTTCTATCCTTTTCTCTCCTTGGTAAATTGGGAAGCAAGGATTGCACTCAACACTCGTGCATTGCTATTTGACAAAAAATTTAAATGGCTTATCATACAAATATTTTTAATTGAAGATAGGGTATATGGTTATGGCTCGGTAATATTTCTAGAAATAGTAGAAGACACGGTTCCTGGTGAGCTTTTTATTTTCTTAGCTGGAGTTACAATTGATTATACTCAAGCTTATATGGGTTTTAAGGAGAAAAGTTGTAGGCTGTTATCTAGAGATAGTGAGAATAAAGATGTGCAGCAAGTTCGATTATTTGAAGTCAGCTCATCAAGTTCTCAACAATGGGATCCCGGAAGATGTGAAAGCTACAGTCGTGTTAGTGCTGTGTTTCAAGAAAATGAACTCCAAATATGGTTTTGTGGTTTGCTGGAGTGCAGATTTGGTCTTGTTTTAGACCCACCATTACCTTGCAACGGAAGTGTTTGGCATGTCATTGTTATATGTTGAAGGACATTTTCTCATTTCAACCTTGAGGACAAGGTTGTATTTCTGGTTGCCGGTAATGTTAGGATGTTGTCTTAGTCCAAACCAAATAAATAGTTAGTATTCCCCAAATAAATAGGAGTTGGCTCAGTTAGTCAGTTAGTATTCCCCAAATAAATAGGAGTTGGCTCAGTTAGTATTCCCCATATAAATAGGAGTGTACGGGGCAGTAATTAGGTATGTTATTATTTTCTGTTTTACCTATTAGGGTTTGGGCAGAGAGAGAAACGTCTCTTCTCTGAGGAGCATTTGCTTTGGGATTATAGGGATCAATCTCTGTAATAGTTTTTAATTCAATTATTATTACATTATTTTCTATCCCTATCACAATGCAAAGCATGTATTTCAATTAATATTGTGTTTGTCTAAACGCTATTGACATTGGATGGTTCATTATGTTATGTACTCTATATTATCTGATCTGGTTATAGAAACTAATGACGAATGGTTTGTATAATCATGTGCTAATTTATGATATTTTGAACTAACAAAAAGGATAAAATTTGTTTTATTTGAATTTACATTTGCAACCTAAGTTGGTGTTTTTAGAAGTTGTTATTGACATGACACAACCCGAAACTTTTGTAGTTCACCATTAAATTACAAGGAAACACACAAAGAGAATACTTGCTTTACCGAACGAGTGGTATGTTACTCGTCATAACAATGACATACTGAGAATTCCGGAAGGACATTGTTGGGTTGAGGGAGACAATGCAGGTTCTAGCATGGATTCAAAATCATATGGAGCTGTAAGTTGCTATTACCTCTTTCAGTTTCTAGCATGACAATGTTAAGATATGCAAATTGAAGCAAGAAAAGTAAGTCTTTATAAAAAACCATTTTAATACCGCATTGTGAAAAACCTCAACATTTCTTTGCATTGGCAATAGAAGATTAGAAATCACAGCTTCTATTATTTCAATAACAGTTTTGTTGAGTTATTTCAAAGCAATAAAAGCCAAGAGCTTCAATGATTAATTTGGTATTCTTAGATTGCATTGCTTAATGTATTTAAGCAAAATATTGTTCACAATAGTTTCATCACATTTACTCTTCATTGAAGTAGTTAGGACTTAGAAGCAATATAGTGTTAGCCTTAACAGAATTCTTTGACTGATGTGCTGTCCAGAAATTAGTTAATGCTGTAATGTGGGGGAGTCTTATACAACGGCGCATAGTTTTTCTTTTAAATTCGGTGACTGACAATACAACTTTGATTGCAGGTTCCTTTGGGTCTAGTTCGAGGAAGGGTTACTCATGTTGTGTGGCCTCCTCACAGAATAGGAGCTGTCAAGAACACTAAAACAGAAGGATTACTACCTTCTCTATGATTGGATCCTAATGCTGCTATTGTCTACCTATTCCAAGAATAGGTGCTATGAAAACAACTTCACATTAGAAGTACATGTTCCCTCTGGTGGGAAAAACATTTTTTACTCAATTGGTCTTGTGTAGAGAAGTGACCAACCCGTTTGTTGATTGGATTAATACTAACTCTGAAACTTTTCATTCCGATTACATATTCTTAACACCTCTGTTTGGAGGAGAAATCTTAGTTAATAGTTCAAAGAATGCCAATAAATTTCTTAGTCCAAATGTGTTGTTTACCACTGTTTTCAAGAATATGTAGAGCACTCGACTTTAATTGTTGTCATGAGGATGATTGATATTTGTTACATAACAGCCAAAGATGTCATAATTATTAAGTGTAATTGTGGGCTTAACTTCTCCTACCTCAAATCCAAATTATAATCTATTTTACAAGAAAAATTTGTCTTCAATTATGATTATTTTACAATTTTCATGAAATATTAGTATTTCTTTTACTAATACTTTTAATTATTATTTATTTTTCTATTTTAATTTTTTTCTCTCCTATGTTATTAATAAAGAATAATCTTATAAATTAATTTATAATTTCTCTTTTTCATATAAATTCATTATATTATCGAATTTATGTAAAATGATTAAAATAACTTGCAATTTATCAAAATAAGTATATACTAAGTCATTGAAATGCTAAATGCTCATGGATTATTGTAGAAATAGAATTATTTGATGTTTTGGCTGATCATAAATACATGAAAATTTTACTTGTTCCCAAAATTGTATTTCAATTTCTACACTCCATAAATTATCTAAATATTGTTTAGTTTTGTCTATGAAAATATTTTTTTAAGAAACAAAGTTCTCATTCCCACTAAGTTACGGGAAACTCAAGTCTATTTTTAGTAAAATTGTGTTTGAGTTTGGATTGTGGTAATGATCTACAATAAAAAAGAAGTGGTAATGCTATAGCTTTCAAGTGATGAATATATTAAATAAAAATTTAATATCAAAGCGTGACAATAAATTAGATTTTTATCACCATTTTTAATTTAAATTAAAACACAGCTTTTTTTCAGGAAAATAGAACATACAGTTACAAAAATAACTAAATTAGTGTAGAATCATTCTTATTCATAAGCTGAGAATCAAAACATAACTAGGTAAAGCGTGTTCTTAGAAGAATAATATAGTTCTGTTAAGAAAAAAATACACAAAAGCTTTCATCCTTTAATATACTTATTCCTGTAACACAAAAACGAAAATTACTTAAATGTTTCTTGAGTAATACATGCATCTAGCTTTCATAGCTCAGTTGGTTAGAGCACCCGTTTAGTAAGCGGGAGGTCTTGAGTTCAACTCTCAATGAAAGCAAAATAATATTTTTTTTTCCACTTATTAGTTCTTATGCTGATTTTTCAAAACTATCTTCAAACCACACAACATTTTTCACTCTATATATGAAACAATATGAATGTACACAAGTAGCTAGCCATACAATTACAACACTCTTTGGCAAAACAATTGCTTATTTGAATAATCCCTATAATGGAAGCATTAACATACATAAACTCACCATCTTTCATCTCCTATCCAGTAATTTTTCTCTTTTGGCCCTGTAGGACCTTCCTCACCATACAGTTCTAGTGGAAGCTTTTTAAACAAATTACCAAATGAATTTCCAAATCTTAGAGGAAGAGCATTTAATCTCTTATCCAGCTCAGTTTTGGAATCATACACAATTTTAGGACCCCACACTCTCATATACTGCAACCATTGAGGCTCTTTCACAACATCTCCTAAATACTCAGCTGCAACAACTTCATAATGAACACTCGAATCCACACTCAAACTACTACGACTAGCATCATTCCTAATTCCAATCCCAAGTTTCGAAGATCCTTGTATATATGTTCCAGGATGAGGGTAACTTGCATGTCCGTTTTTCGACGAGTACACAGTAGCTTTATTGCCGTCAATATACTCTAACTCATGTGCATCAACCCACTTACCACCACTGTGCTGTGAGAAATATATACTCCAAAGCTCTCCACTGAAATTGCATACTCTAAGTGTGAAATGCTCCCAATCACCTACATGTGCACCTACTTTGCTAAAAGCCATGTTTTTAATTCCAAATTTCAGTGTAGATGGTCCATTGAAAGGACAGAAAATCCACATAACAATGTCTGTGAAGGTTCCGCCAAATGCCGGCTTCACATGAACATAAAGTTTAGCACTTTCTAAGTCCCCGTGTTTGATAAACTCCCTTCTAATATCATCATTTGGAAAATCTATCCAAAATTCTCCATCATTTGTTCCCCCACCGGGCAAATTTGATCCACCTTCATCAATAGCCTCGCCTTTAGACACGCCCTTTCGATACAAAAGGGCTCCGTTGCTGAAAAACCAATCAACAGAAGAAGGCAGGTAAACTTCCTCAGGATGAAAGAAAACAGTAGGACCATAATGCTCTATAAGCGCATGTATTTGGTCAATCCGTGGCATTGCCGGTAGCGTTGGGTTCAAATTCTTTAAGCACACAACAGGTAACTCTTCTCCCTTGTTCCAACAACTACTATTGCAGAAAAAAGTCCCTACCGAAACTCCTGTCCCTAACATGCCGCGGTCACAAGGTCTCAAGTTCGAAACCCAAAACGGAAACTCGGGAGTTATAGATCCAGCATCAAGTAATGTGCAGTAAGGTTCACATTTATCAGTTAAGTCAACACGAATGCAACTGATCTCATCTAGATTAGGCTTGTCATGACTGTTAGTAACTAAGTAGCCAAGAGCCCTGTATCCTTCAGGAGGTTGAGGTAGCCAAAAGTAAGCAGAATCAACAGGCATAGCAATTTTCTTTCTTCCTGAATTAGTACACCATACTAGAGTATAATCAAGAGGGTTGGCTAAAGCGGATAGTTTTTTGTTGTTGCAAATGTTATATGAGGAATTTTCCACTTGTTTAGCAACAAGTACAAAACCCCATAAAGGCTTGTTGCTAGGTTGACAATAGTGACCAAGAATATGAAACCCATCTGGTATTCTCACTGGTTTATAGAACGCAACAGCTTTACTTGGCTCCACCATGACATTGCTGTTCCAAACAAACTCAAACTCAGTGACCTTACATGCTTCAATTTCACCAAGGTTCACAACTCCAGAAGCAAAACCCTCTCCTGTAATCAGTAAAGTAATAACCATAGAAACAATAACTTGATTAGAAGAAAAAAATAAAAATAGTTCACCTAATAAGTTGAAAAAGCAATCATTTGTTGACTAATGACCAAACCAAAGTTAAATTGATTAGAACAAAGGTCAACAAAGTTGAATAAAAAAAGCTCTTATGAAATCACTAGTTAACTTGATTGATTTGTTATAATCAAGTTAAGATGGTAATGAGTAAAGTTATCACGACATATAAAGAATTGCATAATGGATTGATTCAGAGACACACTTACAATATATATATGAAATAAAATCAAACAAAACATGTGAGTGTTTACCTTGAGGCCATTGAGGAAGAGGAGTGGGAAGAGAAAAAGCACGAAGAGGATGATCGGCGTTGGGTTTGGAAGGTAAAAAGCAGTTGCATTTGGAACGAAGCATATGGAGAATAAAGTAAACAATTGCTAGAAATTGGTTCTTGAGATCGATGAGAGTTGCTGTTATCGTCATCGTGAACGAATAATAACTAAGAAACAAGCATCGTTTTCAAGTGAAGAATTGAAGGGACCAACACCAACCTTCTCTCTTTGTCAACACCTGTTTCCGTGTTAATTACTTATTCACTCACTCTTACTTTCTCAAATGTTTCCCAACTTTCCTTCCACTTTCTTTTTTGTTTTCGTTTCATTAATTTATTTGTAATTCTTAATGGTGCATCTTTGTTTATTTTATTAAAAAAAAACAACAACCACCATTATCAACATGGAAATATAAACGGTTCTGAACTGGGTCTGTCCTTGGTCCAAATCACAAGTAAGGCCCAATCTAAATCGTGCCTCGAGCTATGCTGGGAACCAGATCCCCCGAGCATACCCAGTCACATGTTGTAGGACTAATACGACTATGTCCGCCGCTGCCCGCGACGAGAGGCGTCCCCGACCAAGGACATCCCAACTCGAGCCTTGCTCGAGCATCCTTCCCGTAGGGCAGACTCTCAGTCCTTCCGGATGCTTCGGAGTCCTTGGAGCTTCGGGAAGATCGCGTCTTCATTCTTCCTTATTCTTCGCAGAGCATCATCCAGGAAGGGGACCACGTGCAGGTCTCCACTACTCACGTAGAACCTGGAAGTCCCTTTGTTGGGCCGATTTGGTCGGCCCAATAAAGGGACCTTGGTCCAGCGCTGGGGGCTATAAATACCCTCTATTTCAAGAGAGTCAGATATTCATTCATTACACACTTATATACAATTCACCTGCTCATTCCGTCTCTCACATTATCATCGGAGTGTCTTGCAGGTACCCCCCATCTATTTCAAACCCAGTTCGAGCCAGCTGTGACGATCCAACTCTGATCAGGTAAGATCAGTGGCGCCGTCTGTGGGAATCTAAGCTTCCCCGTCTTAAAAATTTACAAAGACCAAAGCTAAAACCATCTTCCACCGTCATGGCTGACCAAACTCAGGACGACCAGAACGTCTGCATCGTCGATGCTAACAACAACCTCACTGACAAGAACGGTGGCCCCGACAACACCGGCAACCCCGACCATAATATACTTCCAGGGGGCGCCATCCCCGGGCCCTCTAACTACCGGGACGGAGCCACAACTTCATCTTCCTCAGTCCCTCCTCTGCTCAAAGAAGACAATCCAGTTTCCCCTAACTATCTAGCCCTCAATTCCATGAGGTCCCTGTCCCCGTCGGGGCAGACGCCACGACCAGAGCACTGTTCGGGGCAATCAACCAGACCAACCACCTCATCTTTGCGCAAGGGGAAAGACTGAGGGTGCTAGAGGAAGACAGAAGGCCCCCGAGGAGACACAAGAGGCCTCAATCCCCACCTCCTCGAAGAACGGAGGAACGTCCCCGATCTCCCCCGCGGAGACAGGACCGCGACATCTCTCGAAGTCCGTTGCCCCGACCACAAGGGCGGCGACCCGCCTTGGAGAGAGAACCAATCATCGAAGCCGGAAGGCGCGACCACGGCCCTTCACGGCAAGACTGAAGGCATCCCGGAGACAGACACGAAAGAATATATCAACAAACACTCGCTCGAGGAACGTCCAGCACGACCAGGGCCATCGTGACCGACAATACATCAGGTCCCCGTCCCTCTCCCCGAAACAAAGTGATGAGGACGACCCCCGCGGTCCACTATAACAAACTATCATGGAGGCACCCATTCTCCCGGGCATGGAGAAGCCTCCACACCTGAAAGAATACGATGGAGTCGCCGACCCGGTCGATCACATAGACGGGTTCGAAGCCATGCTGCACTACCATAACATCGAGGGACCGATCAAATGCCAGTTGTTCCCCACGACCCTCAGGAAAGCGGCCATGGATTAGTACAAGGGTCTCGCCCCGGGGTCAATCACCTCGTGGCGAAACTTGAAAAACCAATTCATAAGCTCGTTCACGGCGTCACGACGACATCCAAAGACCGAAGCGGCGCTCGAGACCATCGTCCAGAGGCAGGACGATACCTTGAGAGAATTCATCAACCACTTCAACCGCGAAGCCATCCAGGTCCCCTGCGCGGACCACATGAAGAGATACCTGCTGGAGAGGGGCCTCCTCCTTGACACAAAATTCAGGAAAGCAGTGGGAATCGAACCACCCCGAACGTTCGATGCCCTCCTCGAGAAAGCCAGGGCCTACATGGACTACGAGGAAAGGGAAGCGGCCAACAGAGCCCGTGACCCCAGGACTCGTGTATCCAGCAGCAACCCACGCCAAGAAGCCATCCCTCCTTGATGAACCGGGGAAAAAAGGAAAGACGACAAACCCCGGGAAGTCCGAGAACAGAGGGGGCCTTCGGGGTGTTTCACAGAGTACACTCCACTCACGGCTTCCCGCGAGTGCATCTTGGCGGAGTGTGCCAGTAAAAATTTCAAAGATGGCAGCGTCAAGCGCCCCCGACCAGCTCCTGCCAAGCCCGGGGTGGACAGGAGCAAATACTGTCAGTACCATAGGAGCCATGGCCATCTGACTGAAGATTGCGTCCACCTCAAGGACGCCATCGAGACCCTCATAAAAGAGGGGAGACTCGCCCAGTACCGACGAAACGACGCTCCTTATCGCGACGCCCGTGAGACAAGAGAAACACAAGAGGATGCCCGACCACATGACGAGTCGGTCCCCATCTAAACCGCCTTCTTCGTCACCAGATTTGAGGACTTTTACGTCCTCGAACACATGCAAGAACCTCTGTCGATGCACAACAGGTGGGATCACTTTCCCTCCGCCGTGGTCATCAATGGTGGAGGGTTCAACGACCTAACCATAAATTCAGCCAAGAGGAAGTTGGACGAATTGGTCGACACGACACCTCCTCAGACGGTGACCTTTGAAAAGGTAAAGGGTAGGTCGGAACCTATCACCTTTTATCTCGAAGAGCTCCCCGGAGGGGCCCCCAACGCGGTCATTCCTCTGCTGATAAGAGCGAGAATGGCCAACTTTGACGTACATCGCGTCCTCGTCGATGAAGGGAGTTCCGTCGATGTAATATACTACCAACTATTCTGAAATCTGCAGCTCGACGACTCACACCTCTCATCTTACGTGGGGTCAGACCTGCAGGGCTTTAATGGCTCGACTTCCAAACCTTGGGGATACGTCGAGCTCATGGTCACGTTCGGTGAGGATACGGCAACAAGGTAAGTCAAGGTATGTTTCCTCGTCATTGATTGCCCTTCCCTCTACAACTGCATTCTGGGAAGGTCGACACTGGCGGAGCTGCCGCAGTACCCTCTACCGTCCACTTGAAGATGAAGTTTTACACCAAGAGGGCACGGGTCGCCACCATCCAAGGGGGCCTAGCAACTGCCCGAAGGTGTTTTAATGCGGCATCCAAGGGACGCGATATGGTCGACACCAGTACCAGGCCGACTCCTCTTCCTGCTGACCAGCGCGGTTTATCGCTCGGCGTCGGGAGAACTCGAGGACCCGCTGGATCCTTCTCTGCCCGAATCAGCAAGCGGGCCCATCCGCGTGGCTTGCTATGGTCTCACCAGTCTCTTATTTATCTTCTTGTCCTGGGTTAACTTTAGCAACCTTTCACGTCGTTCCGCCATGTGACCTACAAGGGAAGCGAACCAGGGTTAGCTACATACGAGTAAAGGCAATAACAATAAGAGTAAAGCAAGAAACCTAGGAGATCTACGGCCTGCCTGTAGGATTGGCATTCAACGAGCGCCTTGGTATTAATAGGGCGCGCCTCGAACGTCGGATAGCCATCCTCGTCAAGAATGTCGTCCCCTTCCCTAGTGATCCACCGGGCAGGAAAGAAGCCATCAACAAACTTTTTTAGGATGCCGTAAGCCTCCTCATACTCGGCACTCATACCCCTAGTAGGAGTATGGTAGTGCCCGGGACCATGGTCGTAATGAACCGAGCACCAATGAATGGGAAACCTGGAAATCCGCCCGACCTCGGGATTACCCTCGATGTCCAAACAGGGCTCCCCATCCTCGTCGACCACAGTGGCTGGTTCGAACAAAGAATCCACGGCCGTCTGGGTGGAAGGTTGCAGTATGTACCATTTGTCCTTAAAATCCCTCACAAAGTCCATGTACATCCTAAACAGTCTCTTCGACTGCTTAAGGGACACCCAACTATGTTTCCCTCCTCGGGACTGTTAGAACATAGTTTGATTCTACAACCCTCAGTTAGAGTTTTGATGATAACAAAATACAAGATTAAATAAATTGTAAGATTTATAAGACATATATGCTACTTAAAATTATGTTGTGTATTTACAGAAACTCTGATGGAATCAGCATCAGAATATCAGTATCAACATCAGCATCAGAAGATATGTCAGCATCAGAAGATCAAATAACATGTGCTATACGCTGAAGCCTGATGAACAGAATCTGCGCATAACATACTCTGACTCTGATCAAGATCCTAACCATGTCATTAACACTCAGAAGCGTCAGAATAAGCTAAAGCCAAGAACACTCTAATTATCATTAGCAGAACACTCTGAAGTGTCAACGTTACTATGCATTCAAGACAGATTAATTACCAACGACTTTATTCCAAGACAAAGATCTTCTCAAAAAGGAAAGAACGTTATGAGTATTGAAATGGATTTATGGACAACAACATATCTATTCCTAGGCTACTTAAACAAGTCAGTGAGAAAAGAAATGGCTAATACTCTACACGCATATACACGCCTAAGCTAATCATCCTCACGCACACTCTCATTTTTGCTAAAGCTTTCAACCACGCTTACTCTATAGCTCTAGCAATCTAGTTTCATCTTAAGCTTAATATTGTGTATTATCACAGTTGTGATATATAGTTTTGTAAGAAAACATCAAACACACATTTGTTCATTTATCTGTAAGAAAACTTCCTTGAGATAAATCGGTCTGTGGTTAGACTCAAGAAGGCTTTAACAGTTGTTAAAGCAGTTGTGTATTCAGTTGAA